GACAAATTGTTTTTTTTTAATTGAGTTTTCCTTTCCTATTTCTTTTATTTGTTGGTTTTAGAGATAGACATCCTATATATTGATGAGAATTAGGGTTTGCTAGGTAATTAAACCCCAGGTAAGCTTTTCCAATGTCTTAGCAAATATAATTTCTCAACTTTAAAGCTTACATTTAAAGCTTTTAGAAAAAGTGAACAATTCTTTGGTTAAAACTCTGGTTACAACGATTTGGCTTGACTTTGATGCCCAGATTTGAAATAATCACAATGGCAAAGGGAATCAAGAAATTCTGACTGGCCCACCCAGAAGGGTGATCCCATTCACATTATGGGTTGTGGTAGCAGTGAGCTAAAATCTAGTCCTGCGGCCTTGGTTTTCTCTAAGAGGAATTCTGTACCAGTGAAGGGAGAAGAGGGAAAGCATTATTTTCAGACCTTTTTATTTGTACTTTTTCTTCTTTTTTAATGGGCTTCTAACCAAAGGAACAGACCTTTTTCTATCCATGTATACAAACTATATACATATATATATTCCTATATAATTATATATTTCCATGCTTTCAAAACTTAAAAATGTCACACTATACCTAGTTGTTCTACAATTTGTGTCTTTCTCTCTCTCTTTTTTGAGACAGAGTCTCAAACTGTCGCCCTCTGTAGAGTGCTATGGCATCACAGCTCACAGCAGCCTCCTACTCCTGGGCTCAAGTGATTCTCCTGCCTTGGCCTCCCAAGTAGCTGGGACTATAGGCGCCTGCCACAACACTCAGCTACTTTTTGGTTGCAGCCGTCATTGTTGTTTGGCAGGCCCGGGCTGGATTCGAACCCACCAGCTCAGGTGTATGTGGCTGGTGTCTTAGCGGCTTGAGCCACAGGCTCCAAGCCAATGTCTTTCTCTTAATAATAGTTCATAGAGTTACTTATATAGCTCTACCTCATTTGCCATCATCAATTATGGCAAAATACACATAAAAAAAATCTACAGTCTTAACCATTTCTAAGCATGCAGTTGTGTGGCTTGTTTTCATCCTGCAAAACTGATACACATTAAACAACTCTCCATTCCCCACTTTTCCCAGCTCCTGGTAACCGCCTTTCTTTCTCTATGAATTTGACAATTCTAGATACCTCACATACATAGAAATCATACAGTATTTGTCTTTTCGTGACTGGCTTATTTCACTTAGCCTAAAGGCCTCGAGATTCATCCATGCTGCAGCCTGTGTCAGAATTTCCTTCTTTCGTAAGGCTGAATATAATCCATTGTACAGCTATACCACATTTTGTTTATTCATCCATTGACAACACTTGAATTGATTTTACCTCTTGGCTATTGTGAATAATGCTGCCATGAACATGGGCATTCAAATAATTTCTTTAAGAGCCTGCTTTTGATTCTTTTGGATATATACCCAGAAGTGGAATTGCTGGATCACATAGTAATTCCATTTTTAATTTTTTTTTTAAGAACCACCATACTGTTTGTGGCTGTATGATTTTATATTCCCACTAACAATGCACACTTTCTGTACAGCCTTACCTATGCTTGTCTCATTATTCTTTCATTTTTTAATAATAGCCGTCTTAAGTGGTGAGGTGTTATCATGTTTTTGATTTGCATTTCCCTAATGATAGTGGTGTTGAACATCTTTTCATGTGCTTGCCGGCCATTTGTATAACTTCTCTGAAGAGAGAAATGTCTATTCAAGTCCTTTGCCCATTTTTAAACCTACTTCATTGTTTTTTGGGGTGTTTTTTTAGAGACAGAGTCTCACTTTATCGCTCTTGGTAGAGTGCCATGGTGTCACAGTTCACACCAACCTCCACCTCTTGGGCTTAGGCGATTTTCTTGCCTCAGCCTCTTGAGTAGCTGGGACCATAGGCGTCCAGCTATTTTTTTGTTGCAGTTTGGTTGGGGCTGGGTTTGAACCCACTACCCTTGGTATATGGGGCCAGCACTCTACTCACTGAGCCACAGGAGCCGCCCTACTTCATTGTTTTTAAATGCTTAAGACTTTCCATAGATAAGGCAGTGCAGTAAACATCCTTCTGTATGCTTTCTTGTAGACATGTGAATGTTTCTTTACACATATGTATATGTATATCTATTTAATTGTCCATGGTAAGGTAAGAAAATATCTGCATAACATTTATAAGTAGCCAAAGTATAGAATTGGGCCCAAAGAATATCTATCATTTTTACTTTAATAAATCCTCCCAATAGCTGTCTAAAATGGTTTTACCTATTTATACACTTATCAGTAAGTCAGGAGTCCTTATTTCCCCACATCATTGTTATATATGTTAGAAAATTTAGCCAGGCATGGTGGCACATGACTATAGTCCCAGCTACTTGGGAGACTGAGGCAAGACGACTGCTTAAGCCCAGAACAGGGAGGCTGCAATGAGCTAAGATTGTACCACTGCACTCCAGCCTTGGCTAAAAACTGAGGCCCTGTTTCTTAAAAAAAAAAAAACAAAACTGATCAGTCATTTGTTTTTTGAGGGGGAGTATTTTGTTCTTGCACAGAAATCTCTAACTTTTTTTCTTGTTTTTTGCAGTTTTTTTTTTTCCCTGGGGCTGGGTTTGAACCTGCCACCTCTGGCATATGGGGCCAGTGCCCTACTCCTTTGAGCCACAGGCACTGCCCAAAATCTCTAATTTTAATATATTCAAAATTTTCTTTTCTTCTCTTTTCTTTTTTTTGAGACAGAGTATCACTCTGTCACCCAGGCTAGAGCACCATAGCCTCAGCCTAGCTTGCAGCAATGCAAATTCCTGGGCTCAAGCAATCCTTCTTCCTTGGCCTCCCAAGTAGCTGGGACTACATGGACTTGCCACCAAGGTGGGCCCAGATAATTTTTCTATTTTTTGTAGAGATGAGATTTTACTCTTGCTCAGGCTGATCTCCAACTTCTGATCTCAAGCAATTCACCTGTTGGGGTCTCTAAGTGCAAGGGTTACAGGCAAGAGCCACTGCACCTGGGTTAAAAAAAAACATTTTATTATTATTTTTGAGACAGAGTCTCACTATGTTACCCTCAGTAGAGTGCCATGGTGTCACAGCTCACAACAACCTCAAACTCTTGGGCTAAAGTGATTCTCTTGCCTCAGCCTCTCAAGTAGCTGGGACTAC